GGCGGGGGGGGGGGTGGAGGTGCATAGCCGAGCTTAATATCGACGGTCTTGGCGAATCGAGAGGTCAGAACTTTGTCTCGCTGGAAAGACGATGCTGCCGACGTCACCGTCACGCCGCCATCCCACATGCTGGAAAACGTTAGTTAGTGGCAAGGAAGAAAAAAAGAAAAGGATAGTAAGGAGGAGGTGCAAGTCGGGAGGAGGCAAAGGACAAAATCGCCTTGAACCGGCAAGGCCGTCCCTTTACCTGGCACCTTCCATTCTCTGGATCTGCTTGCAGAGGAGGTTATCAACTCAAGGAACTCGCTCTACCGCGATGGGAAAGGAGGTTAGACTGTAGAAAAGGTGGCAACTGGTAGCTAGTAGCTAGTAGCTAGTAGCTAGTAGCTAGTAGCTAGTAGCTAGTAGGTCGCGTAGACAGCCACCAGGATCGGAGGGAGAGAACGAGGTTGGTGGGTGGCACCGGATGTAGAACGCTCTATCTTCGAGTCGCGAAAGCCTCTCCAGCACCCCTGCCGCCCCTTCACCCCCTGGCCCCCCGCCGCGGCGATAAGCCCCGGAAGAAGAAGCTCAGAGCATTTCTCTCGCTCCCTCTGCCGAGGCAAATCTATTTTAAATTCGCAGCCAGGATAGTTTCGGGAATGAACGTCGAACCTTCGGGATGCGCCGCAGTGGACCGAACGTTAAGAGTCGCGGACATAGAAGATAGAAGTTTAAGGGCGACGGTAAAGACTTTACATTTTTTAAGGAGAAGCGGCAATCAGACTGGGCCACATTAATGTCAAATAAATCTTTCATAGGGAAAATACCAGACTTGAAGGAAACACAAAAAAAAAGCGACAGGTCTGTGAATCAGAAAGCCATTCCTCTGCAGGAAGGTTCCGGTTATGTCGCGCGCGTGCATCGACCGAGGAAATCTTTTTCCAGGAAAAAACGAACAAGAAAACTAACAGGCTGGCGGAGTCGACCCTTTAACGGAGGTTACGTCAAGAAAAAGCCACGATACGCTTCGTTCCCCTTCGAAAGGGGCGCGTGAGCAACCCCTATCAGCGACAGGCTCCGCTCGAATCCGCCGCATTATTCGATGCTTATTCATCCCTGTCGAGTCACGGTACGCTACCTACCCCAACCTGAACCTCCCGCCCAGTGCTCGATGCTGCCGAATAATGCATATCGGTGTAGTCAAGGAGATGCCTGAATAGAGTCCAAAAATAGAGACGCGTAGACAAGTTATTTGTTCGTAAGAAAGGGCTAACTCGGAAATATAAGGGAAGCGGACGGTTTAGGAATTTATCGACAACATGCATGTCGCAAAACGCAATAAAGTCAAAGCCAAAGTCACATGGAATCGCTCGACCGCATTTTCGAGAGTCGAAGGAGCGACGCGTGTCGACGCTTTGAAACGAAATTAAAAAAAAAAAGAAGAAAGTCGAAGCAACCTAGGATGATAATATAAGGAAAAATTCAAAGTGCAGGAATAACCGCGCGGCTCAAGGATGCATCGTGCAAGCCCCTGCATTCCTGCATCGCGATGCGCCGAGGGAAACGATCGCTTATCCAGCCGCTGCACGTGCCAGCGCACCTCCCCAGGGATAAGGAAATTAGCAAAAGAAAGGGTGAATAGTCACTAGGGTGTAAATTAAATTTACAAAGGAGCAGCAAGGGATGGAGATGGATAGAGGGGGGGGGGATCGTTGCGTAAGCCAAGTGTCCATTACCCGTGTACGTAGACGCTTATGCATATGTATTCGCAAGGGAATGCAAGTAAACACGTAGCCATGTTGTACGTATAGACGTGCAGGCAGGCAGGCAGGAAGAGGCAGAGCGATGCACATTCTAGTAACCGTGAATAGGGGATGACTAGGTTCTTTGAGGCATGAATTTTTATAAAATATTCACGTGCAGCCGGAATCCACTTGGCTCCTTGTCCTTGGCTGCCGCAGCCTTCGCCGCTGCAACTATCCAGCAGTTTGCCATTGCAATTCGCAGCTAGTAAGTAAAAGTCGAAAGTACCGTCGTTGTCGTCGGAGCCTCGCATCCCTCCCAGCCTCCGCCCTAACTCGCGTCGCGCCTGTACCGGCAGCCACCCGAGCGACGCGCCCGTTCGGCTCGAGATGCTCTCAAAGTTCAGGCTCGCTTCGAACGAGGGACAACAGAACAAACAGTCGTTTCCTCGAGCCTGAAACTCTGCACGCGACCCGTGCAACCATTTCCTCTGCACAATCATCAATTTGCGAGAAGACAGGAACACCAATGCCGCGGCTCGTTATTCGTTTCGCCGCGTAACGTGCTAATCAAGGAATGCCGGAAGGACACGCGAGCTGCCACGCCGTGTGCTTAATCGATTGCACCCAAAGACGGAGGAGCTGGAAGAAAAGAGAGGCTACCGTGTGCACTATGGAAATAGAGAAAAGAGCCCTCTGCAATTAGGGCAGGTACGTTTGTCGAAATGCACTCGCCGTAGATTCCACTGCAACGAGAAACAGCAAGTATAGGGGGAGAGAGAGAGAGAGAAAGTGCATAAAAGGTCTGAAGGTGGCAAGAAAAAAAAAAAAAGAAAAAAAAAAAAGATTTTGGCCAACAACCTCGTTCAGCTGGCAGGTTTATCACACGGGCGAGTATACCTCTCATAGGTGTTTCCGGTGACACTCCGTGCATGGGGGAGCTGTGGCCTGTGGCGTGCTGCGCCAGGTGGAGGCCCGGCGACCTGCAGCCTGCAGCCTGCAGCCTGAACAGGCTGGATTAAAGCAGCCGCGAAATGGATGGGCTCACGTCACGCGCAGTGTTCCCGGTTATGATGAACTGTTTCCCCGAAATATAGGATTCCCATTGATCAAGGCACACGACGCACTTAGGAGAATATCCCCGGCGTCTTTACAGGGACGCCGGATGGGTGTATTGCGGAGAGGAAGTCGAGCCAGTCAAAGCTAATGCTCAGGGCTGCTCTTAATCATCGATTCCTGGATTCGTGAATTCCTCACTCGAATGGAAAGACAATACGCGAGGAAGACACTTGGCGAATCCAATCAAATTCTTGTTAATCGTGACGCAGATGCCAAGAGGAAATATTCGTGCACTCTTAGGTCTTTTAGGTTCCTCTCGATTACCGTCTGCGCGACTGCATCTACGAAGAACCGGATTGGGCGACGTCGAGAAAAACTTTTAATTTCGTTCGCGCAGAAATTACCTCTGTGAAGTTGGACTCTCGTTATGCAAATAAAAAAAAAAAATAATTAAAATTCTGCTTGCCCTCGGAAGAATTCTAGAGTTCCTCACAGTTTTCAGATATAGTTATGTCGATTGAATGCAAAAAATAGCAATATTCAGAAATAGGAGATCAACTTCGCGACATTTTGGATAATGTAACTTTTTTGGCAGTTCTGAATAAACAAACAATATTTCTACAGTTTTCTATTCCTTTCCATCGATAGTTCCCGTCATTGTCCACTTAAAAAAACAAAAGTTTGGAAAAATTCGTCAACCGCTCTATCTTTTAGAAAATTATATTTCTTCCAATGTTTCGAATAGTTCTGATAGCAATTCCGCATAGTTCTCAAAGAGTTCTACAAAACGAATACCTGAACTTGATTAGCCCGTCCAGTAGTTCGATTTTTCAAATACTTTTCTGAAAATCATGTTTGCACCGATAACCTATAAGGAACTGTAGACCAGAACTGAAGAATATAATTTTCTAATAGAACATCTTTAATTTGCATAACGAGGGGTCAACATCACAGAGGTCACGAAACTCGAGAAAACGATGGGGAGTTGGGGGGTCAAAAGCAGCGAATGGACGGAACACACGGGAATCGTCGAGAATCATACATTGCGAAAATCACGTATGGTATTAGGGGAGCTTCGTCAAGTAAGTTTCGAGGGTTTCCGCAAATTTTTAACTCCGCAGTTTGTACTCGAACACTCGATTAACTTTCATTAACTTCGAGAGGAAATAATAACGGCGTAAACTCGTACGGTTCGTTCGTTCGACGCGCGATTTCAGGGGACTGATGCGAAACTCATCATCTGGTTGCTCGTTAGCGATGTCCATTAGCATCATTATTGTCCCGCAACTCGATATAACTATGCCCGATTAATTCGTGGAATCGCGAGAGAATATATACAGTGATACAGATGGAAGTATTAACCCGATTACTCTTGGTACGTTCGATGAAGAAAGAACTTGAGAATAAAGGCGCAGTTGCCAAAGTGCATTCCGTGCATCCGTATAACGATTTATGCAGTCGTAACGCGACTTTTTGCATTAAACTGCGGGTGCATCAAATTCTACGGATTATTCGCAGTAAAAGCGTATAGGAGGATGGTATCCGTTAGTATCGCTATTACAAGGGGGACTAGAGTATCGGCAGCCATCAATTTGTCCTTTAGAATCGACTGGAAGCGTAGGAAAGTGCACTAGGCGCTCAACAGCATCAGCAACGTGTACGTACTGCTGCATCAGAGGGAGAGAACGAACGTGAGCGAAGGGAAGGAAAAATAAAAGAAAACTAAATAATGCTTCCGATGACAATATGGAAAGTTGGCATTCTCTGCGAAAATGACAGCTTACCCGTACGAGTAATAATAATTCGCAGTCGGATTCACGAGGGAAAGTCGATCCGATGGGCCGTCACATCCCTTCTGACAACCGTCGGAACGAAATTTGGCTCGCCTCCCTTAAAAAAATCCAAAAAGTTGGTCGTTCGCGGTGGACATAATCGTGCTGCTACCATCCGCGATGATCCTGCTGTTACAGTATCGTAGATGCTTGAATAAAGCCAGAATGTGGATTGAAATAAAGATGATTGGAAGCAACGCATGGAAACTCGGGCCGACGTTTGGGATCTACAAGGATCCAGAAACCGAGGATTGAATAAATGTCAGGCGAAAGAGAATTGTACTATGTCTGGCAGGCACACCACCACCAACGGAGGAAATCGGAGAAGAAGCAGCAGCAACGTTCCCGAAGCAAGCGATGGAAAGGGGAAAATGAAGGCTATCCAGTAATCCAGGGTCGCTGCGATACGTTCTAGATGCCCGGATAAGAGGGACGATTATTTTATGGACGTTATTAGACTTTATCTCTGGAAATAAAGCTGATCTGCTCGGTTCACGTTGTCCTGTTTACTACTTACCAAACTCTATCCTGGGCACATACTTTCGCAACTTCATCGGCGCGACAAACCTTCGTAGCAGAACTTAACTTGAGAATTTCATGAACTGGTCTCAGGCAATTGCGGGTTTGTATAGTATTTTTCAAAAAAAGAACATTTATGGCAAAGAGAAAACCTGACAGTCTGCAAAATAATTTTGAGAAGCGGCAGGGGCGGCACGCACAATTACTCGTACGAGGATGCGCGAAAGACAGCGATACTGAGAAACATGGTTGAAAATCTAAAAGCTTCAACTGACCTTTACGTTCTGATGAATTTCTTGAAGCTTCTCTGAAGCTTCTTCTCTGCCGAAGATCTCGACAGACACCAACAAGACCACCAAAACGGAAAAACGAACATTCGCGGGATGAAAAGCACAGGTGCACGAAATACTAGGTAAAACGTTCTGACGTCAATCGACCAATCACAATCCGATGTCACCCGCACAAGTTCCCCTTTTACTTTTCAACTGTTTCACTTCGATTCTCACTTTCATCTGCCTGTTAATATTGTATTCCTTCTCTTCTTCGTCCTCGCCCTCCTGCCAACTCACTCCTTCAAATATTATACACGGCGAGAGTCTATTAACGTAATCGTCGACAGATATACTTATAAATTATTAAATGTGCTACGTAAATTACTCGGAATATGTATGTACGTTTCAATCTGTAGCAGAAGCTTCGTTTTGAAAATCAGAAACTCGACAGGTCCCGAATTTATAAAGGCAAATTTCAACTACGAACCTCTTGCAATCGTTAACGCACAAATATATGAATTTGAAGTTCTCGTGGAAGTAATAACGTGACAATGATCAAAGTTAATCGTCATTTACGAAGTTGAAGCAAGTTTTCATAATTGAAAGAAGAATATATGACTTCGACATAAAAGCGATACGAAAGAATGAGTTGGCAAAGTTGCGTAACTAATTGTCGACGATAGAACGAAGCAATGGTGCCCTCATTTTTAACGATTGACGCTAAAGTTATTGAAAGTGGTCTAGAGCAGACCAACGATATTTGGAGCTGTTATGGATATTGTATCCAAGTACTTAAGGACATTCAGGAGCAGCAAGGAGAAAACGAATTCCCGATTACGTCCAGAACTCTCACCTGTCTCGTCACGTTTAAACTTTTCCTGTCATCGCAAACTTCGCACTCTCAACACGACACACCATTCACATCCAGATCGCGTATCATCAGTCACCACTGGCAAGTACAAAACATAAATACATAAAGAATTCCCACCGAGCCATCGGACCCCCACGCGTGTCTACGACTCGAAGTCTCATCCACCGATCATTCGATACACGCCATTACTGCCGTGCATTACGGACTGTCACTTTTCAGTTCACTCGTCGCACAACCTCGAATTGAAACTGTCAAGAGCACGGGCCAACGGAGTGCTTGTAAATACCAACGAAAGGACGCCGCGACGCCGCTTACATGACGCGTAACAACCCCCTGACACCAGAGTACACGCGCAGGATGCTACGAGCTGACTGAAGCGCGAAGCGCCTGTTTCCAACGGTGGCGTCGCCAGCATCGCGCCGAGAAGGAGCGCTACCAAAATCTATCGCTACCCTCTCCCACTTCCATTCCCTCTGCCGCCATCAAGCTGGCTCCGGCCTTGCTCTGGCCCTCTGGCTCTCCGGCTCTCCGGCTCGAGCTCTCTAGTCTGCTGCGCGCACGATCTACCCGAATGCTCTCTCGTACCTAATACATTCTTAGATCCGAGGTGCGAATTTGTGGGAAAACGTTTTTCCGCCATTGATCGTAAAGACGTACGCGCTTCCATCCCTTTCCCAACAACCGATTCCGGCGAGCCTTCGCTCGCTCTAACGCCCGTGTTCGGATATGTTCGACACGACGATCAGACAACTGGATTCGGTGCAATTACATAAAATCGGTAGCTGCTTCAAACCGGGATTACTTCGACGAATACATCCGCAACGCTAATCTCCAGTGGTGTAAAAGAAGTTGGTGAATCCATGGGGAAACATTAAACCTTCTTAGGATTTCGAACGTCCCGATGGCAACAGCGCGCGGTGAAGTAAAAGCCACGGGTTTAAGCCTGAACTTTGTCCAAGTTAAACTTAAGCTTTCAAGACTTAAAGTTCGTATAACGTGACACGCGAAACGAGGTGGCCGACGCGTATATATATATATATATCGTACATATACGTTCAGAGAGATAGGCCTCTTCTATTTTCTTCATTTTCTATAGCAAACTCTCTCGGAATGAAATTTCATTTCAAAGCGCGAAAACGAATCTCTTTAAAGGCAATTATTCTGTCCTCCTCGAGGAAAGATCGGCTTATCAAAGAATTTTATTTGAGTCCTAAGTCAGCACTCCGACTTAGCCAGTTGCACACGATCCTTATAACGAGCAAGTGGCGAGAGAACGAGGAAAGGAAGAAACTCCTAGAGGAAATGTAAATTATCCTGGAAACCCGCACGGAGCGACTCTTAAGCACGATCGTAATAATAATTTCTCTAATTGATTTGAGACCACGAGGAGCACTTTCAAGCGGTTTTTCTCTATTTTCTGCTTTCCCACCGCAGGCCACACCGTCGCAGCGTGACCCTCGCCTTCCCCCTCTGCTTCCTCGGCTCCGCGATACTTTCGCTTCCGAGGAAAGCTGAAAAGCATGACGAACCATTAATCGACTTCGTTTTCCTCGACGTGTTTACCGTCCCCGAAAGTTTATGTTAATTTTCGCCAACTCAACAAAATTTCAAAATAATTACGATCCTGCTAGGAGCTCGCAGGAGCTCGCAGGAGCTCGTCTCCCTGTAATTTTAGTTGCTAGAATCGAAATTACACCTCGAATTTAAAGGCCCTATCTTCAGGAAACGGGAGGCGCCTGTCAGTTGCCACCTGAGGCTGAACAAAAGAACTGCTAGAGGACTCTGTGACATTTTCCCCTTTCCGGATAGCTGCGATACAGCCGCGCGGCTCGGCAGCGCTGCCGATGGGCATCGCTTCGAGGCCTCAACCACGAGTAGCTACGAGTGCAGCGGCGGGGTGGCGGGGCGGCGGGGCGGCGGGGCGATACTCGATAGCGGCTGCGGCTGCGGCGAGTTCGCTT